GGATCTTGTACGAAAGATCCTACGGAGCTTGACATCCGAATGGCGATCTAAGGCCGATGCCATCTATGAGTCAATCGGCACATCAAATGTCACCATCGACGGTTTAAGAGGTAACTTAAAAACTTATGAATCTACTATACTTAACCCGTCTTTGAATGACCAAAGGAAAGGCATAGCATTAAAAGCCTTCAAAGAACCAACGATGAATGACTCAAGCGACGATGATGAAGTCAAGCTTGTCATGAAGAGGTTTTGCAAATTTCTAAGAAAGAAAGAAAAGGTTGAGGATGGCCCTGTGTGCTATGGATGTGGTGAAGCCGGGCACATCAAGAACAAATGCCCGAGAAATGGAAGGAACACTCGACACTTCAAAAGGAAAAGGGCGTATATCTCTTGGGGTGGAGACTCCGGCGACGAGTCAACCGACCAAGATGAGGATGAAGTTGCCAACCTCTGTCTCATGGCACACAAAGACCAAACCGACGATGTACAAGAGGTATGTACCATTTCTTCCGACTCTTACACTTTTGAAGAAATGCAAGAAGCACTTCACGAACTTTATGATGAATTTGTTAGCGCTTCTAAACTGAACAAATCGTTAAAGAAACGCCTTTCCACTCTTGAAAATGATTTTGAAAAGTTGGAAAAAGATAATGAGAAGTTGAAACAAGAAAATAAATTTTATGGCAAAAGAAGCGCCAACAAACCTAAAAGTTCCTCAAACGAATGTGAATCTTGTAAAGTTTTAAAGGAACAAGTCACTAGACTTGAGAGTACGGTTAAGAAATTTAATACTCCGCACAAAAATCTTAATTTACTCCTTGACACCATGCATTTTTCTAAAGAAGGAATTGGTTTTGATAAAAATGAATCTAAGGATAAAAACGTTGAGCAAACACCTAGACAACCTTCTAAGGCTCAACATGAGAAAAGTAAAAAATAGGATAATAGAAAATCTAGTCAACCTAAGGACACTAGACAACCTAGACAAAAGCCTAGGAATGAAAATGTGCATGTTAGACAACCCAAGAAAAACTATCAAAATGATTTTGTGCATAAAATTAATTTTTCAAATAGACAAAATAATGCTAGAACACCTAGAAGAGAGAGTTTTCAAAAACCAATATTTTCCCAAAATAGAATGAATATGGTTAGGCCCCCTAGCTATTATCAACCTAGGCACATGTTCAACCCAAACGTAGTATGCCACTATTGCAATAGGGTAGGACATATAGCTCCCGTGTGTTTCACCAGACATAGGCACTTCACCTACAATGAAACACACAAC